AAACGTATGATCGCACCGGCTAGTCTGGTGCAGGTGTGGTCGCGACGACATTTTGCCAGCCACACTTATTAGACAGTGAGTCTTAATGCGTTGTGGTCACAAATACTCCATGTATCTTCGCTCCACTGCGGGTTTTGTTGCAGCTAATGTTTGCTTTTCTGCATTCTTCAGTAATTAAGTTTCGTCTCCATGCAACACTGTCTTCAGCAATGTGTCACTGAAGAAGTGGGCAGGCCGTCCTGGTTCTGTACAAGCGGCGTTATAAAATTTTTTTCTTCTGCAGTCCTTCTACGTGTGCAGCAGTTCGCTAGAACTTATATCAGTCATTGTTAAGTTTGTTCTCCCCGGCACAAATACTCATGTGTTTCAGGAATTTGGTACCATTGTTTGGTAATGATAATTTGATGTGGATGCTTGAATCATACATTGATGAGAAGGAAGTGGCTTCGCAAGCCGAGCTGGAGTCATCCATGGCTTCGCAGGCTGAGCTGGCATCAACTATAGCTTTGCGGGCTAAGCTAACGTCATCCAGTGCAGAAAATATGGAATCTATTAACAGAAAAATTGGGACGGTTACTGTGGAAGGCGTACGTTTCATCTTATTCGTTAAGACTTCTTCCTTCTGAACTTCAGAGAAAAATTTGCGGAACGGCCTAGGTAACTGGCACTGCGGTAATGTTGTGGGCGCTGAATGTCAGGTCCAACCCACTTCTTACAACCGTAAAAGCATTTGTTGCTATGCTGAGATTTTATTGGTACTCTTTCACTAGACATTTGCTTAAACTGCCGGTTATGCCAGTTAATCCTCTTGTACGTTTGCACTTTGTGTTTTCTTGTGAAAGTGTTTTTTAGTATGAGTGGAGCCTAATGTTTTGCAGGTAATTGCGGAAGACTACCCAGATTTACAGAATAGTGTGCTCGCCGATGCAGAGTTATGTGCGTCGCTGACATAGACATTGCGGTGAAGCCATCTGATGAAACAGGTGTAATTACGACTGAGAGGATGCTCTGCTACCGAACAGTGTTGGTAGAAATTCGAATTTTAAATCGTTTTCCAGCTGAATTTTCCGAGGGCTAAGGGGGATCGGAAGAAACGTCAGATTCTTCTCGCTTTACCGATCAATTAAGATTTATTGTGGTTATCAAAAAACTGAATTTCTTCCAACACTGCTCGTCCGGAATTATTACCTATTTAGCCATACGGTTTTGCTCATCTTTTTATTGGGTTATCTGAAGCCGCTTTGGCTGACTTTTTCATATGGCAGCGAATTTTGCTATTCTTTTTGTTTTGAGTTTTGCTGTTCTTTTTGATTTGGTTTTTCCCGTTTTCCTTTGCGAATGATGTGAGATTTGTTTTCCTTTGGGTGATTCCACTGGTGGAACCGTGTGAGGACTTTCAGGCCATTTCTTTTTCATATGCAGCGAATCCGGTTCTTGACTAATGGTAGTGTTGGTGCAAGAAGCATTTGTGTCCATTGCTTCTGTAGTTTGTAATGTATAAGTTGCCGATTATCCCACATGGCAACGAC